GTTAAAAACAATAACATTATACAAAGTAATAACGATTTCCTTTATTGATATTTAAATTAACCTTAAAATGTAAGGTGTAGTTATTTGATCACAGTATTGGTATTTTATTTACAAATATGTGCCTCCTATTTATTATGTGAATTCTCTTCTTCTTCAACTTTTACTTGCTCACGAACTTATGAAAAAAATACGTAAATTTCAATCTTCAGTTATGAAATTACTTATTCTAATTGCTACTGGATAGCGCATATGAGAAATAAGAAAATTAATGTAAATTTCATTTTTCAAAACTTATATCGAGTACATACATCACATCAGGCATCAACCTTTTACGCAATAACGTATTATATTGTAGGAGATAAAATTATTTTAAGAATAAGCGTGAAATCTAAGAGCCAAGAATTGTTATTCTAAATCCAAACATAACATTGTAAATAATTAAATTGTTTAACTATGTGCTCAGGCTACAAACCTTTCGACTTTTGTGCCGATACTTTCTTATAAATCGAACTATTTCTAAAGTATCTTACTTTGTCAATTTAAATCTTCCGCGTTTTATTATCATTGCTCTATAATTACGAGCAAATATGAGTTTTATTTATCTATTGTATTAATAGTACTACTTTATTATAATTTTGGCCTGTTTTACATAATTCAGCTTTGTTTACTTTTTGGTTGTTTCGCCCCATTTCAAGATATGCTTAAGATACTTTTATTTGTAATTTCGTCGTTACCGATCATTTTAGTCTTCCATCCTCACATGGTTGGTCTCTCCGATCGCTTCGGCATTTCGCCATTCTTCAGTGTGTCTGTGTGATTTCTGTGATCAAGACTTTTTTATAAAGTCATGAAGGGTGGATAGTGTGTTTTTTTTTAATTTCTTGTTGAGAGTTCGTGGTTGTTACTGGTCGTCATTGTCATTCTCATGTTATATCGCGTGTATGCCGTTTTTGTCAAGAGGGTCGCGCTTTTGTCAATGTTTTATCACAGTACTTTTCCGATTGTGTTCGTTGAATTGAGTGCTTTTTTAAAGTTTAATTTGTTAGATAGATTCGTTAGTTTGTACCTGTCTTTCCCTGTATATGTGATGTGTGATCCATCTGTTTTAATGTGTGCATGTGTGTGTTGTGTTTATAATTTTCTTAAACGTGTGACTTCTTGTTTTTAGTTCGTTTTTATATTTCTTTTTAGATATTTACTATTTTAACGCAAATGTTAGTAATTTATTGGACTCATATTTCATCAAATTCAGTTTAGTTCTCCTCGCAGTCAAGTTTTAAATTGATTGTTTTTTTGGTAATTACTACATTTTTCACCAACATCTATTTTTTTTGTATGGCACTTACCTATTATCGTATCCTCATTTCGTCTATGCTCGCTTTTTTCTTGGCTGTAGTGTTCTTTGTAATTTACTGGCGCGTGAAATACCATATTTCTTGATTCAACATATCTTTGGGAGACAACTAGATTTATAAAGATGATCCAAGTCAGTCCGGACCAATAACATCAATCATGAAATCGAGTATCTTTACGGTGTGTAAAAACAGTCGTAAAACGTACAGGTAAATCGTTTTTATTGACGTGTATGTTACACGGCGTGCCTAAACTGTAAATCGTTTAGAGAAAAAAAAGTTCTATTAGAATACGGCCGTGGTGAAAGAGGACAAATCGGTTTGTATCGGGTGTAATCATGAGGATTTTACGAGGGAAATAAAATCCCGAGAGGTCTGTTGAAGTCTAGGCTAGTTTTAGGGATCATAAAAGGCCATTCATCGGTCGTAAACTGAAGAACGGCCGCATAAAGAGGCCTGACGTTTCCCTTTGACTTTTACGGCCGTTTGATGAGAACCGGAGTTGAACTGAATTAAGACATCACTTTACTCATTTACAAACGTTTTAATAATCCCTCATAATTGCTACTTGGCTTTGCTACTTTCTTTAATTATTAATTTAATTTCGCCAATATATATCGCCAATATAATTTAATACCAGGCAAATATTTGTTTTTAAAAGACTTACCTCTATTTTATTTGAAGATTGAACAAATGCTGTACACTTGCTTTGATTTACCAATTTGTTTTTCTTCTTGAAAAATTTAATTTAATTTTTGCTATTTGAATAATTGACCGAATATTATANGTACATCAAGTGAAACGTTGATATTTGTTAAACTTGAAAATAAAAAATCACCCGTTTAATACACACAGGGCTGTTTTAAATAATATTATATATATTTATATATTATTTTATATATACAAGATTTTGTTGTATATTTAAGGGATATATGTATTTAAATTTTATAATTTAAGCTGCTTGTCCATTGCAACCGAACTACGACGGCCGTTCAACAGCCGAACTATTGCCGTCCACTGTAGCCGATTTTCGTCAGTTCGCGACACAGCCCAAATGGATGTAGAAGATTTGTTGTTGCTCGAAAATTCTTAGTTTACATACAAATGGAATGAAAGAAATAAACAAAAATATTGGAAGTTCCATTTCTAAAGCTATCCTTGACCACAGCTTACGCTGGACATCTCTCCGATGACAGAGTGGATCACGTATGTCCCAAGAGCCTGCACCTCAACCGCACTTATCAATTTTTCGCAATCCATTGAAATGAAAACGAACCGAAAAGCTAAGCAAAAAGCAAAGAACGGCATTAAACAATGGTGAGTTTGATGTCACGTGGTTGACAGTTGAAGTCGAAGTAACCATTCGGCCGAATAGGACTGGAAAATCCAACTTTATTTGGATCGGAAAGTGCTTCGGCCGTACGGAAAATTCAAAAAGGTGTGGTTGAGATGGGAAGTTGATGTCCGAGTGGATCCAGGTCACGATAGCTCAAGTGGTAGAGCAGCGGCGTATCAAGCCGAAGATTGTGGGTTCGAATCCCGCTCGTGCCATTGATTTTTTTATCTCAACTGAAAAGCTTAATTAATTGGAATCATACATATTTTTCCGAACGATGTTTATATTATTTATATGATAAATATGTTTGCATATATCGAATTTCTTCCTTTAAACTTAAATATTTAAATTTACAATATCACTACGCACATTATTAATAAGATAATAATGTACAAAATAGATCCAATAAAATTTTGAATGTGAGGAACTATTTTGAGTTGTGCCTTATTAAATCGTTGTTAAATGATTTAATGACCAACATTATTTTTATAATATAATATTTTATTGTCTGTTGGCATTGAAAAACTATAACCCCACCGCTACATGTAATTTCTTTTTATATATAGTCAAATACCTATAATAATCAGACAGCATTTGAACACAGTTGAAGAACTACAGCAGTATAAGCTATACTACAGGCAAAGAAAGATTTGATAATTTTTTATATCAATTATTAAAAAAAATATATTTCGGGTTGAAATACTAGATATTCATATGTATTATCAATATTAAAAGTCGTAAGTGAACCGTTGATCGAGTTCATTTAAACTTTTACTAAGATAATAAGGAAGGTTTTGGGTTGAAAACAATAAACAATTAAAATTGTTAAAAAAATTATTTTTGTGCTGTGGCTGCATCAATCTTTGTAAAGTGTATGAAATGTAAGCAAATTAAAGTATATTTTTGCTGTAAAGGGGCAGACACTAAAATTGTTATTTGGTTAGCCACCAAATGTTTTACCGAAATCAGGAGATCACACAAGCTCATGCAGCAGGATGAATCAACGTAGTACTTTCTCTTTTTTTAACAGTATTATAAATTGATTTTTTCGTGCAGACCATCCGCAATCAATTTTTTGGTCTTCCTTTCTAACTCATTGTTGAATTCAATTTGTATTTGTCTCTCGTCTGTGGGAAAAACTATAATTAATAACAACAATACACTAGATACAATCTTTTTGTTTAAAATGTTAAATAATATACGAAAATTTCAATTTTTATTTTAATTTTTTGTTCTTTTTCAGAAATCATGAAATTATATAAACTTTTTAATTGTGTTATGATTCTTGTTACGAAAAAAGAACTCATTTTACTGTAATATGGCTGATGTTTTCTTTGCAAATTTAACAAGTTTGGTAAAAAATAATTAGCTTTTTAATTAGATATATAAAAATTATTTTTACCTCTCATAAACGGGGTAATTTCTCTCTCTCTCTCTATTTCTGCCTTTCTTTCGTTCTCACTCTCTCTTTTAATGTTTTGTTCATATAGAAAAGGAATTTCGTGTTTTCTATAAGCAAACACTTAAGTTCAAACACATTATTGTTTGGACAATAACGTTTCTAGTTTGACCCATATTTTAATAAAATTTTGAAGGTCTGTACAATGGAATCGAATGTTCTGTTTTTCATTTTTAGAAATATAAAATTAATGAAAATATAAAATAATAATAATTAAGAAATATAAAATTATAATAAATGATAAAACTCATAGTTATGAAGTGTTAACATTATTATAAAAAACATATTCTCTTGTTTACTTTCTGTAGGTTAATTTAATGTCTAAATTCAAATTTCTAGGTGCCTACATGCAGACATATTAATAATCTCTGAATAGTTTTTAGTTTTGGAATGGTTAGGGTGGATGGTATTCAGTGAAGTGTTGCAGGGCAACTTCTCCTACAAGACACATGACAAATTCAGCATATATGAATATTTAACTTAATACAATATTTGTCGTTGTAAATATCAAATAAATAAAGTTTTGGAATTATTAAGTTATTAAAGAGATATAAAATTAACCGACTCAAAATTACGAATTTGGTCGAATGAAGTCATGAAACGAGAGGGTTATTTTGAGTGATCACGTAAAGATCATGATTGCAAAAAGGTTCAGTTTTAGGATAGTTGTAATAAACGATAGAGGCGGATAATCAATTCTGGAACAGTGCAAACGAAAGAACTGGCCGTAAAAATCGCACTGATATTTGAGTGACTTTTATGGCAGTATGATAGGGCTATTAGAATCGGAGTCAGTCAGTCAGTCAACGAGGATGAAGACATAACATGGGCCGATTGTAAATGGTTCATAAAGGATCGCCGAGGGGTGGTAGTTGAGGCCGAAACCAACAGATGGAGATGGGATGCACAGGCGCCGGGGAAGCGGGATGTCATTGGTCGATCCGGGCCCCCACCAGGGTAGCCGTCCTCGCGAAGAGGGAATGCGGATAAAGCTCTGTGGGCAAGAGAGAGAGTGAACCCGAGCGAGAGGGATAGAGCGAAAGAGTGATAGCCTGCCCTCACATGGCTCTACCCTGTTCAGTACCATTCCGCCAGTGCACACGATAGCACGAGCTCCTACTCGCAGCCCCACTTTCCGCCCTTACGTACTTTTATTGCGAATCGTTAAACGTTTTCCCCCTCCACAACCACTTTTATGGCTCGTTTATGGGCCTTTTATCGCTCTGCCACCGGCCTCGAGTGAATCAGTGACTTTCTGGAAAAATAAAATTTCAAATTACTGACTGTGTTGTGAAGTTTTTTGATATACGGTCAAAATGAACTCTTACTTCGAGCAGACGGGGTTTTATGGCTCCCATCATCATCAGAGTAGTACGGCGGCCCATCATCACGACCAGACGGCGGCAGCGTATAGATTCCCTCTGGGATTGGGCATGTCGCCGTACGCTTCCAGCCAACACCATCATCATCATTCGCTGCATCAGAGCAGGCCTCCGCAGGACTCGCCGTATGATGCGTCTGTCGCCGCGGCCTGCAAACTCTACTCGGCCACAAATGACAACCAGACAAGCGTGAATTACTCGACCACGAAACCCGACTGCTCCAAAACTGAAGGCGGTCACCAAAACGGCTATGCCGCCGTGGTGGCCGCAGCGGCGAAGGACGTCTGGCAGAGCGCGTCGGCCGGCTCGACGCCGTCGGCGAATCCTCTCGTCCGTCCTTCCGCCTGCACACCCGACAGCCGTTATCCCGGCTTGACGGAGGCGGCGGGAGGATCTCCTGGATCAGCTTCGCGTACCTCGGCAAGCTCCCTAGCCCCTTCGTGGAACCAGTGCAGCATCAATACGGCGTCCTCTCAGGCACCGGTCGGCACCCAAATCCACCAACAGGCTGGCAATCACACCTTCTACCCGTGGATGGCGATAGCAGGTAAGTCACGTACGAAATTAGTCGATATATCAATGGACCAATGCGTTTAATTACACCTCGTGTTCGTCATACATCATACCGCTTCATACGTGGCTCACATTATATTCCTAACCATATTGTCACACCAAATATCAAAAGTTTACTTTAAAAAATTATAAAAAAAATAAATAAATTTTTGTTTGTATCCCAAGTTAATTGGCGTATTACACGTCTGGCCACCGTTCCCAACTACATTATCGTATTTTCTATTCTATTTTTTAAAGTATGGATATAAAATTTTTATACAGTACAAAAAGCGCGTTAAAATGCAATATATATTCTTTTTGTTTGGTATGAGGTTTTACCTGTGATAAATCAGCCCACGTGACCCCGGATTGTTCCGGCCCATCCACTCGAAGAGTTAGTTGGGGTTGCTCATCCAACCCCCTGGTAAAGTAACAAGTGCATTTGGAAAGGGGGTTGGGACCAGATCAGCTGATTCTATGACCCACTGACCCGTAGCCACCCTGTCAGCCCCGTAGCCCTTAGAAAATGCCGGATTTTACGACAGTCGGAAAATAATTTATTAACCGTGTACAGAGATTTTGTGAAAAAAAGTCGAAAAAAATTTCGTTAGATATAAAAAAATAAATAAAATCGTATAGTAAATATTGTTTGACCGTAGATTGGATGAAGAACGCATTAAAATGACTTCTGAGCGATTGCCAATTTAAACTGAAAATTAGCACAAATTATACTTTTAACGGTCACCCACAAATTATATTGTTTTTAACGAGTTTTCGTTATTTAGAAAAAATAAATATTTGGTAATTTCAAGTACAATATTGCATTAAATAATATAACACAACTTCTCGAAAATACATCATTTTTATTCTAAGACAAGAATAATAACTTTTACAATTAAGAAGATTTTTGCAAAAAATTTCTAAATTGCCCTATTTCGCTTATAGAAATTGGAAATTAAGCTGTAATGCAGTTGATCGTAAGTTGACGTATAAAATAATTGAAAAAAAGGCTTGAAACCGTAGTTTAAAAGAAGTTGTTAAAAATGTAAATAATAATATTAAGTATGCTATACAGTAATAATTAATTTTATTAATAAAACGAGCTGTAATGTAGTTCATCTTAAGAAAATGTATTTATTTTAATTTTCTATCGTGATGTGGTCGTTGGCTATATAAAAAACTAAGAAATCGTTAGCATATTTGTTTTAGTGGGTTGCTGTATTATCTGAAATTAGAAAAAAGGATTAATCGTTTAAAAATATCTAAATAGAGAATAATTATTTACAAATTGGTATAGTTTAAAAAGTTACGGGGGAAAAACGGTGGGATGAGATAATATCTGGTGTAAATTGAGTTAGGTGATAAAAACCTCATAAATTAAAGAAAAAAACGGAACGACGAATGCCAAAATTGCATGGTATGCAGGGATTTTCACAGCTTGAAAATTCACTGCATAAAATTTCAAACATTCTTTCTTTTATCTACGTTACAAGCACTATGCTTGTTGTAACAAGTTTTACTGAGTTAAATGACTTAAGATGAGTTCATGAATAATGATCATTGATTTGGATAGAGATTGCCGATTTGACAAAGTGCGCGGTGGTTTAATTTGTGTGGATGTGCAAGTAGACGTCAGTGATAAATAACAAATAGAACATCTCCAACTTGTTTTACCGAGTCGCAGGCGTACTTTGTAATGTGTTTGTGTTTGTTTTGGGCCGGGTGTATCGCCGTTGCCATGGCATACCACCCACGATGGCTTCCCAAGCCGCTCCATCCATCATCTTTCCGTGTACAATTAGCAACCGCGAGGCTGGCCAACCCCTCTCCTCTGAATTATGCCCGGTCCGATTCTAAATTTATTAATTGCCCTCGAACCTATTTAAGCCGTGCTCTTCGCGATCTGAAACAAAGAAAAAAAATTTCCGTTAGAAATGATCCTTGTGATTATTTTTATATTTTTTATTTCTTTCCTGAAATAACAGCGTGGCCGTGACTCCGCTTGTCATTTCTTATGTTTCTGACAGGAAACTCTATGGGAACATGAGTGAATTAGTTGTAATGTTGCTTTCAATAGTTCAAATCACCGTCAATAGAGTGCGCACCCTCCAAAACTACCCTCTGTATTTATATTGGTCATAGGGGAACATCATCATACGAGCGGTCGTACTCCCTCCATAATCGTGGTTTGACATTTTACAGCCGCCTGAAAAAAAAACAAAAAAAAAACAAATAAATAAAAAATAAAAAACAGTTGACCGTAGTGATCATAGAAAAAAATTATGTGAAAATTTATATGTGAACATCATGGTAAATAAACATTAATGCATATTGAAAACTCGTTTTTATTCATTTTTACGTTTGTACAACAGATTAGCATAATAAAAAATAATTGAAAATTTTATCCAAAATCCCTTTCAAAAAATCATTAAATTTTTGAAAAATACAATTTTATGTTATAAACATAAAAAAATTTATTGTCATTTTAATACAATCTTGGTAAATAAATTTTTAAAATATTTCAATTTATGGAATATAGACTAAAATTAACAATTGTATATATACCAGCCAATATTATTTATTTAACATTTTTATTAAGTTGTTTGCTTCTACTTCGCTTTAATTAGTATTAGCAATATATTGAAATATAGTCATATTTCAGACACGACCGAAGGCGATTATCGCGGTAATGCGTGTCAGGTATTAATAATGGAGTTGGGCAGGTGTATCAGATGGATCATGTTTGATATGAGATGCAACGAACCGTCGTAGTAATTAAATTACCGACTTCAAATTGACGCTAAAATATCTCTGGTAGCAGCGAAAAGTAGGTTAAGTTCAAAATCAAAGCATTCCGGAAAGTGCGTTTAACAGTGATAAATATTTGCCCAAAATCGGGAGTAAAACTTTTCACGAATGCGCTTTTATGATTCTCTCCACATTAAGATAGCTTGCTGAAGTGGTTTTGCCATTCTTCTGTGTACATATGATCTTGATTTTTACAAGTTTTGACTTAATTCGATTTTCACTCCAAATGATTGAGTTGTCATATTTTGAGATGCCCTCCCCGCCATCAGAATAGGCGTTTTCGCTGATAGACGCTGAAGCTTTAAAAAAACAACTTCAATTCTTTCTTCTAATATTCCTCTTTCTCCCTCCCCATGTTTCATTATAAATTGATTAAATTATTTCTTAGCTATTTCGGAATTAAATTTTCCAAAAATTCACATGTTTTTTAAATCGTTACAGATTCTCCGCTCGAACTCTCCATGGACGTGGGTTCGATTCCCACCGACGCCCCTGGCCCTTTTTCCACACTACACTTCCCCAAACTACATATATGATGAAACAATCAACTACATACCATGGTTAATATGCGAGTTCATAAAGCCATTAACAAATCGTTAAAGATCATTTTGGCCTGACTATATTTGCTGGGTTGGCCCCAGGAAAATCAAACTTCAGGTCCTTCTCTGCACTCAGTATGGAGAAATCCCATGAATTTTATAACAATGAAAAATAATATCCATTTTTTAAAAATCGCAGTTAATCTCTGCCTGTCTGTCGTCTCCCTCCCACTCTCTCACTCTCTCACTCTCTCTCTCTCTCTCTCTCTCTCTCTCTCTCTCTCTCTCTCTCTCTCTCCCTCCCTCCATTCCTCCTTCACTGTCTTTCTCTCTATCTCTATTTCTCTCTCACTCTCTCTCTCTCTTTCTGACTTTGTCTGTTTCTTTCTCTCTCTCTCTCTCTCTCTCATTCCCTCCCTCCCTCCCTCCCTCCATTCCTCATTCACTGTCTTTCTCTCTATCTCTCTTTCTCTCTCACTCTCTCTCTCTTTCTGACTTTGTCTGTTTCTTTCTCTCTCACTCTCTCTCTCTCTCTCTCTCTCTCTCTCTCTCTCTCTCTCTCTTTGTCTGTTTCTTTCACTTTCTCTCCCTCTCTCTCTCTTCCTATTGGGTTGTCCGGAAAATAATGCAGGATTTTGGTATTAAACAAAAAAAAAGAAACTAGTTACTTTAAAGCAATGTTCCTTANCTGTAAACGTAAACAGAATATTTTATATAGATTTTTTTTAATGAAAACTTAAAATCCTGCATTATTTTCCGGACAACCCGATAGTTTGTTTCCCTCACTCTCTTTTGTTCTCTCTGTCTTTGTCCGTTTCTCTCTATCCCTCTCTCTGTCATTTACAAAATTACAATATTCAATACTTTTTAATATTTTAAATAAAGCTATTTTAAATTATCTGTCTGCCTCTCTTTCTCTCTCTCACACACACTCTCTCTCTCTCTTTTTCCCTGTATCTTCTTGTTTATCTGTCTATCTATTCACATATTTATCTATATACAGAAACTTAATACAAATTCATAAAAGCAGGTTACCACCAAATCATTGGCGTTAATTAGGTAACAATATGGTTTGTGTAAAGCCCACTAGGTGGAGTAGAAATAGCAAGAAACACGTGTGATGAGATGCTCTCGCCAGATTTGCTTAATAAAAGAGATCGTCACATAATTCAAAACGGAATGATAAAAATAAAAATTATACATTAAAAAAAATACTGTGTTGATTAATGATAAATCAAAAGACCTTTGTGTAGTGCAATAAAAGATAGCACCTCCATTTTTACTTATATGTGTATAAACATGGGACCAATTCTCATCTGTTGCTAGATTAAATAAGCTAGCAAAAATAAACAGTCGAGCTAAAATTAAACCTTTGAAAATTTAAATTTATAAGAACTTTCGTGGGATAGTTGTTGGCATTTGTAGTTTTTTATTATTGTATTTATTTTAAACAAAAAGAAATCTCCTTAGCATAGAGATAAAAGGAAAACAAATAGTTTGTCAAGCGAATAAATAGAGGGGTGGCTTGAAAAATGTAATTAGCGGAACAATTTAAATATATATATTATATATTACAAGTTAATAGCACTAAGCTAGGTAATTAATTCCCAAATTGATAGGGAGAAAAAAAAATCGAAATATTAATATA